TGTGATGATTCTGATTATTGGAATTTCGTGTTCAGGTCTCAAAACTGGTTTCTGTGAAAGTGGAAAAAGCTTATGAATGTTGAACGGTATTCCCATGTCATGCATATAAGCTCAACGGTGAGAACATGTTTCGTTGCTCGATGGCTGTTAGTATTCTGAGTAATTTACAGGAGGTTCCCTTTGCAAGTTGCATTGGTTAGGGTCATTAAGGATTCGACTTATTCCTCTGTCTTATTTAACTCAAGTAGCAAAAAAGTAGAACAAAAATGGGAAGGGGAAAAAAACAGAAACTATTAGCTCTTGATATGATTATGGGATAAATTGCCTTTTATATTAACCAGTGTTCACTATTGGCAGTATGACCTTGAAGTGAGATTAAAGTTTGATTTTTTGTGTCCATTGGTCCAATTTGACACAATTATGTATAAGCATGCGTTAAATTATGAGTCAATACTCGATATTTATCAAGTAATAAATTATTTATTTTTTTTAAAGGTCACGGGCGAGTTGCCAGACCATTTGACAGGATGGGATGCCCTGCGCGCCGCATTACCTGTTGGAACCGTCAGTGGAGCCCCAAAGGTATACTTCTCTCTTTTTTTTCTTATAATTTCTTGTGCACTTTCCAAATTATAAAGATGGGTTACGTATTGGATAAATTACCTCATCGGTTAAAGTATATCCTGCTATTTCGTTTCTGCAGCATGCCACTTGATCATGAAAGATGTTTGATCTCCTCTTGCTTTTGTTCCTTGGCTTCCTTTTCATGATCATAGGTGTCTTTCTATTAGGCTAAACTCAAGCAATATTGTTTTGATAGGTCATTGGGTAGATTTCTAGCAAAATAACACTGAGGTGATGGTTACCTCGAAGGGGGGAAAGCCGTCTTTAGCATTTTAATTCATGACTTTCCGGTTTTGTTTGTGGTTGCATGTTCATATTTAGGAGTAAAATCCCAGGCACACATTATAGTAGAACTTTGCCCTCCTTCGTTGTCGTGTGACCTTTCAGCCTCAACTAGCAAAGTTTGGGGATTTGAAGCGCTCATTTATGATTGCAGGTGAAGGCCATGGAATTGATAGATGAGAGGAGATGGAGTGACGAGGCGGGGCTTACAGTGGAGGCTTGGGTGGATCTCTTTCACTGAGGACATGGACATTGCGCTAGCTCTCAGGACAATGGTATTTCAAACAGGAATTAGATATGATACTATGTACTCGTACAAAGGCAAGAACCAGCGCAAGGAATGGATCGCTCATCTTCAAGCTGGTGCTGGTATCGTGGCTGACAGTGTCCCTGAGGACGAGCACCAAGAGTGTCAAAACAAAGCTGCCGGTCTTGCTCGCGCCATTGACTTGGCTGAATCGGCTTTTGTTCATAAATGAGATCTACAAACAATAAGCACGAGAATATGTATCCCCTCTGAAATTTTAGATCTCTCACAAGCGGAACTCATCACTATGCGAGATTTATATATATATATATTGCACGTGTTTCCATCCCCGTTATTACTTTTTTTCCTGTCTAAAACTCCGACTACCCAACGATGCAAGCCTTCATGGCAACTTAAAATGACGTTGACCAGTCTCTGAATTATTGTTCGCTACGATTGCTTTTCCCCTAAACTTGGTCTTTTATCGATTGAAGAAAAACATCAACAAATCAAGAAATAAATATACTGAGGCGAAATCTATAAGACGTACTGTTTGTTGAGCGCGTCTTCTGCGCCTGTCATTACAGGGACGACGCCGCGTGACCTGGAGGAGTGGGTGACGTTGGACTCCTTGAACCAGAAAAGCCTGCCTTGCTTGAGCACGAACCACCGGTCCGGATGTACTCGCCCTGTTTGGTGAGTCATCCGGCACGCTCGGGGTTCGACTAGAATTCCGCATCGTCGCAATCGGTGGGGAAGTTGAATGGCGGGTGAATTTACAGAATATAGAGCACGAATCAACAGTGATGAGACCGTTGTCCTGCCCATGCGGAAAGTAGCTCGGGGATTGCGTTTATGTAATTTATTATTTTTTTAAAACAACGATATGATTTATTTTTGTCTTCGCGGGTCAAAAGAAATCAGACTGCATGAAACGACAGAAGTTTTATTTGTCGAAGTCTTTTTTTTTTTTTACTGATTTAATAAGAAAAATTTATATATCTCTTTTTTATTTTTTTAATTTATAAATATCGAAGTGGTGAGTTCGAGGGTTTTTGGGCTATCACACGCTCGACTTGTCTATTTCAATCCATCGCAGTTTGATATAATAATTTGTGTTGACTCGATGGAATTAATGGTGTGGGAACAAGCGCTTTGCAATACGAATTGATTTTGGATTGTGAGGGAAGTTCAATATGCAGGGTTGTTGAACCAGATATTAAAAGTCTGCTAATATAGGATTGCTTTACTTGCTAGAAATGAGCATGAACAGTATGGAAGAAGAATGATTGTGTTTAATATGAAAGAGAAGGGAGGGAAAGAGCATGTGCACGCGGAAGCAGAGACGAGAAAGGTACCCGTGGGGGGCACGTGCATGCGCCTACACTCCAACTTAGTTGCCTCTCAATTGGCTTATCCTCATTTTCTCAACCCTCGCATCATTATCCTCTCTTCTCCCTCCTCGTCACTCGCCGTAGGTGTGCCCAGAATACACGTCTCCTCCACGATATAATATTAATTAAGCCGCCCCACAGTTATTCCAGGCAAGAATGTTGGGGTATGTGATAAGATTTGCGTCCAGCCTGAAAAGTTAGACGCCCCATATATCTCGCACATGATGCCATTCTTCACAAGGCCAACAATAAGTTCATCAACAGGCTAAGCATCTCACCCTAATATATATGTACGCCCGCATTTGAAAAAAGTAGATGGGATTTGCGTCCCGGCGACCCATCGCTTTCCTAGCTCTCACTTGTAGCTTGTCTCGAATCCCTGTACATGTCACGATATATTTTATTAAGGAGTTGTTCGGAAATTACTTATACAAAACTTTTCTCACAGATTTATTTCCCCACAACGAAGTTCGGCTGGTTAGTTGGTTAACACGAAGGGAAAGCACGCAACCTCTCATGCAAAACAGTGGCTCTCTGATTCAGATGTACACTGTACCCAGCAAGCTGTTGGGCAGCTGCGGTCGACTTTTAACACAAATATGGAACGCAGCCCCCGTCTGCTGGGCTGAGGAATAGTTCAGAATTGAAACCTGAAATTCATATGCCTGTTAGTGTTCGGTAGGCCAGTGACATTGTTGACGCTTGTTTTCTGCACCCGTGGGCCAATCAGCGCGCGTGATCTCGGATGAACATCCAAGTTGGGGGCCAAGTGTGTGTAAACGGGGACTACTGTGAAAATGAAAGCCGGTGTGCAGCCACATTACTTTCCTCACCTCACTCTTTCCGTAGCTTTCTGTGGCCTATAAATATATGTATATACACCCACATATCATCATAAACAAATAACAACCACACGCCTCCCCACTCTCTAGGCCTCCCAATCCCATTAACTTAATTCAGTCCCTCTTTTAAAGTTTGAGCGCACATGCTGTCCCGTGCATGGCAACTATCCTCAGTCCTCATCAACTTTGACTCCTCTTAATTCATAGATCCAGCGTGATTTTAATATAGAGTCCCGGACGGAATCATTACTTGTTTTTCTTTTAAAAAAATGTGAATATTGGAAGTCAAATATTGAGAGTAGGCATACATGTGAGCTAATGAATTGGGTCATGGCGCAAATAATTAAGTGCAGAAACTCTTGTCCGTTGTGTTTAGTAAGATGCTATGTATGCCCATCCGAATTATGGAGGAGAGCCCACCCGCGGTGGCATATTAACTTGGCAGCTGTGGCTATATCCCTTGTTGAAGCTAAAGTCCCACCTGCACCGGATTTCCCATACACGCCCCAGTCCTCTCTCTCAAAATTTTCCATTTTGTAAGCATTCGCAAAGTTTGATTCTCTATCCTCGCCCCTTCTGTATGCCTCATCAATTAATAAATTCGAAAAGGGGAAAAAGGGCTGGGGAAAGCGTTTCCCATACTTTCCCACCTGCCAAAGTCTCATCGCCGTGGACAAGAGGAGAAAGGGACGTTGTTTTAGAGAGAGAGAGAGAAGTAATTAACAAAAAAGCTGTCAGTGCCAAAAGAATCCGACATTTATTTTCCCCCACTCGTGTGCCTCTCGGCTTTCGGCCTCTCACCTCCTCCCATTTGGATTTACCCCTCGCCCAAAGCCATGGCTCTCTATTTAACACCCATCTGCATGCACCCATACATCAAATTGTTACTGTATGATTTCGTCCTCTGTAGGAAATTCCTTTAATGGATTTTCTGCTCTCACTTCTCTGCTCTCTCGGCCTCTCCGCCGTCTTTCTATTGCTCCTTCGGCAGCTCCGTTGCCGGGTGCTGCGGCTTCCGCCAGGCAGCCTCGGGCTGCCCTTTATCGGTGAGACCCTGCAGTTAATCTCCGCCTATAAGAGCGACAACCCGGAGCCTTTCATCGACCGACGGGTGAAGCGCTATGGTGCCATCTTCACGACCCACGTGTTCGGTGAGCCGACTGTGTTCTCGGCTGACCCGGAGATGAACCGGTTCATTCTCCTCAACGAAGGGAAGCTCTTCGATTGCAGCTATCCCGGTTCGATCTCCAGCCTTCTGGGGAAGCACTCCTTACTCCTCATGAAGGGCTCTCTCCACAAGAGAATGCACTCCTTCACAATGAGCTTCGCCAACTCCGCCATCATCAAAGAACATCTTCTCGTCGATATAGACCGTCTTATCCGGCTCAACTTGGATTCCTGGAAAGACCGCGTCTTTCTCATGGAGGAGGCCAAGAAGGTACCCCGATTAAACTTGACTGAGCATGGCTGCTGAGTCAACTCGGACAAAGATTCCTCGTGTTGATTTCGGCTCCCTCTCTAATTAATACCGTCATGCTTTTCGGAGGTGGCGAGCCTTGGAAGTCGGTTTTGCTTATTTAGTTCAGAGGTTACTAACTGCTGTTGGCCTAGCTGGCACTGTATAACTTCTTTCGTCCCACCCCACCCCAAAAAGGAGTTTTGGTCATCATTATTATTCTAAAATAAAAATCTTCTGCGGAGGATTATTATGGGGTTTTATTTGATAATATAATGAAGGTAAGAATGTCGATATGTATCAGAAGATGGGAAATTAAGAGGGGACTCAAATGACAAATTCCCTTCCGTCGTTCGGGACACGATAAAAGGATTTTGTATTTACTGATAAAAACATAACGGTAAAAGGCCTTCACTTTTAAACGCAATAACCAAATAAAATCCTTCCGTGCGCGGATCATCATCACAGAGCCTGCACAGGGCATCACATTGGTCACCATATCATCACCCGTTTTATTTCCATTTCTGCATTTATTGATTTTGGATTTAGGCCGACGGCAATTAATTGATTAAGAAATGATGAGAATTGCGGAACTATTTCAGATAACGTTTGAGCTGACAGTGAAGCAGTTGATGAGCTTGGATCCAGGGGAATGGAGCGAGGGTCTGAGGAAAGAGTACGTTCTGGTGATAGAAGGATTCTTCACGCTCCCCGTACGTCTCCTCTCAACCACATACCGCAGAGCCATAAAGGCCAGAACCAAGGTGGCGGAGGCGCTCGCTGTGGTGGTGAGGCAGAGGAGGAGACAGACCGAGACGGGACAGAAAATGATGAACGACATGTTGGGGGCACTGTTAGCCTCCGGCGACCGCTTCTCCGACGATCAAATTGTTGATTTCATGCTGGCTCTGCTCATCGCCGGCTACGAAACTACCTCCACCATCATCACTCTCGCCGTCAAGTTCCTCACCGACACCCCTCTTGCCCTGGCGGAGCTCAAGGTACGTCCAACTGTTTCCAGTTATTGCCAAAAAAACATTAATCATTGTTAAGTATTTTAAATTGTGGAGTACTCATTTATGTGTTTTCGTTAAAAAGTGGTATTAATAAAGAATAAAATTAAAAACCTAGACTTTGTTGTCACAAGAAGGAAGGAGGAAAGTCTGAAGTAGCGAATTTAAGAAAGGCAAGAGACATGCCGGGGGGAAAACAGAGGGAAGCAACCGGCGAGAGAGAGAGAGAGGGTCAGGTTGGGGTAGGGGAAAACCCGAGGCCGCCTAGGGAGGAATAGACCCTATTTTGATTTTTCAAACAAATCGTCAAAAAGATTTGAGTTGGATGAATGTGGTGGTGTGGGTTTGTTGGATTTTGTGCGTAGGCTGAATGTTCAGAGACATGCAGTCAAAAAGCCTGCGTGCGCATCCTTGACACTTTCTTTACTGCTCTAAACTCTCTTGCCTCTCATCACATGCATTGGCCTCTCTCAGACGAGGATGTTGTTATCTCTTTAGCTGAGGTTAGCCCAGCGTGGCCACTTTTGTACTTTTACCCCTCATGCATGCTCTGCTTTCCGTTGTTTATTTTATTGTCACTTCGCCTTCGTCTCTAAATTCCACACATCTACCACTGTGTCTCCAACTGTAATTAAATCCCACTCCGTCACTCCCTCCCTTCTTTGTTCGTCTCATCACTGGGCTTTATAACGCTACTTAAAAATAAAAGAACGATTATTTGTTTTGTTAGTCATCGTTAGAATTTACTGTCGAGGCCATACCCGTAACTGAATCAACTCGTACATTTTTTTTTTTATCAATCATGTCTCCTTAGAGTAAAAAGGTTGGGTTATTTTCTTCTCGGGCGTCAAGTCAGTTGACGGAGAGAAAGCTTAGCCCGAGGGCTGGCGAAAACGACGGTCAAAAGAAGAGGGTAAAGTCAAAGAGGTAGAAACATGGGTCAGAAACTCAGGCGTGGGACAAATTTATGACAACCAAACCGCACGCTTCGTAGCCTAGTGCTGTCAAAAACGACAAAACAACCACAATTGGGAGGGAGGTAAACAACACAAAAGTGGACTCAGAATCTGGTCTCTGACGCATCATTCACAGGACCCAAACAGAGCTTTCCCATTTGCCCACCGTCATTTTCCGAATGACTTGTTTGGTCGCAGAATGATCAGAGATTGGGGGAGGGGGTGGGGAATGGACCAGTTCAGTTCGGTCCCTTCAGGTGAGCCCTCTGTGCAATAGTCGGGCACTGATTTCGAGGTATATGACGTCACTTTATCGCCCCGAGCCTCCCTCTAGAGGCAGACTAGCGTTGAAAAGCACAGCACCCTTTGTGATTCCTAGGACTCTTGGGACTACGCCTCTCCCTTGCACCTTCCAAGTTCTGACCCTATCTCTTTTCTGGCAACATTTCCCATCCCATTCCTTTGCTGTTTCAATCAAAAAGTAGTGTATGACAAAGACCGGCCTGCCCCTTGATTTTGACTTTCAACGCCTCTATTCCGTTTATGCATTGGGATAGTTACATTAGCTGGATTAATCGGTTCGTAATTGCATTGTTGTGTAATGCGGAATGAAGAGGGTCGCTCTAAGAGCACACAGCTTCAGTCTTGGGTCTTCCTGAGAGTGTGATTGGCGTTTATGCAGGACGAGCACGATCAAATCAGAGCAAAGAAGAGTGACCCGGAAGCAGCTTTAGAGTGGACTGATTATAAGTCAATGGCATTTACTCAATGCGTAAGTGTATGGTGCATATAGTATATATTTCATTGGAAGCGTCGTCGTTAATTAATGCAGATCAAGAGCATGAAGCATTGGAGTGGTTTCGGCAAACAAAAGAATATGTTGATTTTGAACCTGGTGTTCTGTTTGTGCTCTGCCGATGAATAGGTTGTTCACGAGACTCTGAGGGTGGGGAACATAATTAGTGGCATATTCAGGAGGGCAATGACCGACGTAAACGTGAGAGGTAGCTAAAAAACAAGAACATTTAACATCATTCTATTTGGTGTCAGCTTTTTGGAATATAAATTTTAATAGCAGACGACTTGAAATAAATAAACAGGATACACAATTCCGAAGGGATGGAGACTGTTTGCATCGTTCCGGGCGGTCCATCTAAATTCGCAACATTTCAAAGACGCCCGCTCCTTCAATCCATGGAGATGGCAGGTTTATAACTCATCTCACGAGATCCTTTTGCCCTGAGACTGCTATGTTAACTTGGGTGAAAATGGTGAAACAGAGCAACTGGGAAGCAGGAGGAGGAAGCCCGGGGAATGTGTATACACCGTTCGGAGGAGGGCCCAGGATGTGTCCTGGCTTCGAGCTCGCCCGAGTCGTCGTCTCTGTCTTCCTCCACCGCTTTGTCACCCAATTCAGGTACAGGTATTGGTTTATGAATCCATCAAAAGTACAATTCTAGTGTTAACCAAAGCGCATGAATTTGATGCAGCTGGGCTGTGGCGGAGGAAGACAGGCTGGTGTTTTTCCCAACCACTAGGACGCAGAAGAGGTATCCGATCATAGTGAAGCGTAGAGATGAGGGCACCGAATGAAGTGGAGAGTTTCAAGTTGTAGACGAGGCATCCAATTATCTATCACCTATTTCATGTAACATCATCACTATTATCATTACGCTAGTTTTTATTATGGTATCCGTATCGCATTCGTGAACTCTTCCACTCCTCGCGTCCTCTTCCTCTCTGCCATAACACAACACATAATTGAATGCACATGAGGGGGTTCTTGTTATTAATCTCACAAATAAAGTCGCTGATGAATTTGACTCGTGACTTTCATGGTCGCCGGAGCTCGGCAGTAATTGTAGATTTGTCAATAATCAAAATCCCCCCCCCCCCCGGGATTATATTGCCGGTGCCCATCGCCCACCCCCCATCCCCCAGCACCGATGCCAGCAACTCATGTCATCGAACCCTCGAATCTTTTGGAGCCTCGGAGTGGAAGTATTTAAGGGTGTCTAATAATATCAGTGATATCTAACGACGTTCAGTTTTTAAAATTTTAAAAAAGGACTATGGTCCCCGGTCGTACTTAGGATTCTCTTAAATTAATTTTTTAAGCTCTAATTTAGATCCAAAGAGAACAAATCTCCGCGATAGTGGGCATATTGCGAAGAAGCAAATCTGGCCCATCCTTACACAATGGATAGTGAAGCTATATTTTCACCTAACAATTTAAAACGTCTTATGGTCAAATTGTTGTTTGTTGTTTTGATCCATAAAACAACCGGCTATGACGTCGGGGGGCAAGACGGAGAAAAAATAAGTTGTCATCAAGAGATTGATTGACCAAATAGTTTTGGGCGCCTCAGGATGTACATGTCTTGTTATTCCGGTTGGCCTCATGACTTCAGAAAACATGGGGCGAAATGTGAACAGCCGAATTCATAAAATACTCTGCCAGTGGCCTCATGACATGGTAACTGATGATTTCTCAACTTCACCGGCCCTTTTGGCCTGTGCAAATAACATAATGCCTTCGCTCTGTTCTTTATATACAGTGACATGTGCTCCAAACACACAAAATATACCATAGACTACTTTGTCTTAACCAAAAAGCACAGAATAAAATAAAATGGAGGTTAGAACCACGGCACGGTCTGTATGCATGGCTGCTCTGTCAGCTCTAGTCTCCCCCATTGTTAGTCCTTGCCGTTCTAAGGTCAAGGTTCCTGCCATCATTCGGTTAACCTGTGCCCTTTTAAGGAACAAATTTGGCGCATTAATTTAAGATTCAATCTGTGAAGCCCCTATTTGGTGGCGCAGACATAAATCCATTTTCTCCATTTTTAACCAAGGAGAAATAAAAGAAAAGTACGAGCTAATCTTAGAATGAATGTCACCAGAAAATACCTCGAGGTTCTGGTCAGTTGAGTGTGAATAGCCGAAGATGCTAGACTGGAAACTCCTATGTTAAATGTATGTATATATTTCATCTGGCCGTTAGCTGCTTCATTTGACTCGTTCCTCCCGCAGGATCTTGGGATACCTCGGATGCCCGTTCTGGCAGGCTGAAATCTGCACCCAAACACAACACACATTATCATTTTTTTTATTAGATTGCCACAGTGCCGGCTTAAAAGTTATAAAATGAAAATAGATTATGATCTCTCAAAAAGAAATGAACCTAGCCTCACATGGCACACGATGATACGGATATTTGCATACACTTGTGAACAGTAAATTATGCAAGGGCGGCGAGTAATCCCCCCCGTTCATGTGAATTCTCTGAACTAACTGAAGAAAATCACGGTTCCGTAAGTCAGGGGGCACGTCTTCCTTCAGTGTTGATCACGCCCAAGTGATCATTTAAAAATGGCAAAATTTGACCGTTGGGTATAGTGATTGACCCATCATGATTTGAATTCTACGCTCATCTCATTATATCAAAAACAAATAAATTTTCAACTACTATTTTTTTAAGGATAAAATATAATTTAACCGAAAAATAAACTTAAAATTTGAGAGGTCGAACTCGAAATTTAAAAAAGACAGCCACTTCAATTTTTTCAGCCGCCCTATTTCGGTCCCCCTGACCAGTCTGGCCGTCTTGAAAAGTCAGCATATGAGTAAATAAGAAAATATGGCCGAGGCCGATCAGGAACCGGGCGTTGAAGCATTCTAGGTGAATTTGGTGGCGGCCCGCAAGCAACATGGCTTTCCCCAACCCCAACATTGACCTTCCAGAAAAGCCCCAAATTCCGCCGTATTCATGACTCCTTCCCTGCTCTTTTAGGGCTACTTTCGTGGGACCTGCAATATTCACTTCTCCTCCCCGTTCCCACCGCACAAACTCAGCTAAAGGAAGAGAACGGAAATGAACTACTCTTTGAAATTTTCAGTTAATGACCGCACTGATCCTTTCTTCTTTTATTTCCCAAACTCATATACTTGATCGCTATGCACATGCAACTTTTTGTTTGGAATGCGAAGGAAATGAGATGCAGACACTTACCGCTTCGATGTCAATCTTGTAGACCAAAAGCTTCCGTCTTTCTCTGCAACTTGTTCGATGGGCAACCACGATATGGCCCGCCGCCAGCGCATAGGAACACATGAACAGAGCTATTTCCGAGGCTCTCACGGTTCTTCCACCCGACCCGCCAAACAAATAAACAGCAGCTTTCACCGATACAAATATCACCGACAAAACAGAGCAAGCCGTCGTTACCCCCAGATATGGTCCTCGTGAGAGTCTCGGCCCATCACACGAGCTATACACACCTATAGCAGGACGCACGCATAGTATTACTTTCCATTCGAAAGGGTGTATATATGAACTAACTCGGAAAAAACTAAAAGGTACTCCTCGTTCCGTAATAAATATAAGTTCCATTTGTAGTACAATTTGCACTGCAAAATGGGCGGAAGAAGGGTAAAACAGAACAGGTCTGTGAAGAAGTACTTACAGAAGATGACGAAAGACCTGATAATGGAGAGGAGGGGGATATCGAGGAGAGAGCATCGAAAGTCGTAGTGATGGAAATGGGAAGAGAGAGTCTGGAGGGAGGGAGAGGAAGGGGAAATGGCAGAGAAGAGAGCAGAAGGGAGAAGAGCGTCGGCAATAACCAGGAGGAGGGGAGCTGAGAAAAGGAGAAGAGAGGCGAGCATAGTGATCAGGAAGAACAGAGTCTTGAGAGCCCTCAATATCCGTCTGGATGCGTCTTCCTTGGAGAATCCCATTTTGGCAAATTCGGGGCTTGCAAGGCAGCGGGCTGAATGGTAGTATATAGATACGTACAAAGAGAATGAAGGAGAGGACGGCGAGAACAATGATGGAAGACAATGTTTAAGGAGACCCCGCGGATATGGGAAGGTGCAGGCGGAAGGGCAACGATTTTGACCCGACTTGTCCTGCAGCTTGACTAATGACAAATGGAGGCTGCAAATTTACACGCACACCTTATAAAAGCCCCTCACTCCCCCTGTTCCCGGTCCAACGCCCCACATTACCTGGAGTACTTTTTCACTAAAAAGAACAGTTAAACGGCAAATTCTAGGTTTTCCTATTTCTACCCTTTTCTTTAATTTCCCAGGGATGGCTATCCTCTCTGAAACCCCCCCAGCGCCCACTTCCTTGTTAGGTTTCTGACGCGTGTCCACCATGGCGCCATCCAACGACGCCTTCCCCCCACCTGATTTATGTCACACATCTGTGCATACGCATTCCGGGATATAACTTTTCCATCTGTTAAGAAGAAAAGCACTCGATTCATGAGAAAAACAATTCTCCGCGAAATTTTAAGTGTATGTGTATTCCATATTCATAGGTGATAGGTTTTTAGGTATTCGTTTGGAAGAGGGGGAAAAAAACATTGAAGCAAACATGGGATTAAAAAAAGGAACAGGGTGTGGCAATCATGCTAGAATGGTGGAGTCGAGGGGTTGTTATAGCATGTGATCACATGCAGCGCTGTGGCCGTTTAAATCCGCCTCTGGTTCCTTTCCAATGGGGAATTTAAAATGGGATTAACTGTTTATGCAGGTCGACGTTACTTAAACCATTTGCACCGGTGAGATAAATGATGCGCTGAACTTGCCGTCTACTTTCCTCAGTTTTGATTGACTTCCAGCACATCGATTTATCTATTTAGCATGTGATGATGCCCTTATTGGTGGCCGTCGTCCTTTTATCTTCTCCATCCGTCGTATTAATTAATTTCAGTTTTAGCGAATAACACGTATAATGTATACCATTTCATTAAAGACGCCAGAGACAAATCTCTCTTGTTTTCTTCTTTTTGAGGAATCTACTGGCCACCGAACAAAAATACCTAACAATGACCAGGCATTCATCATTAACCATATAGATTGTTAAAACAGGAGCGATATACATGTTTGATCTGAGCATCGCTTATTTGAAACAAGAGATTTATTGACCGAGTATAGAGGCTATAAATCCGAGCGCGAACGGGAACCAAAAAAAGGGAACAGTGGAGTTGTCTCGGCTGTTGCGAATCATTTCGATGCGTTTGTATTGCATATCTTTTAAGTGTGCAGTTCGTGGAAAATAATGTTGTTAGATGGAATGAGAGTGAGAATCCAGTACTTTGTGCTCCTTCCAGCTATGTGTGTGTATATATAATATTCCACCGAGTAAAGCCCAAAATGGCTCCTCATTTGTCCACCTAACCGCTTTCGTCGTGCATGCAACCTTTCTGCCTTCCTGTGGCTCCAGCAGGAGCATACCACACAGCCCTGCTCTAAAATAAATTGCTGGTTCCATTTCTTGTTAGCCGGAAAGATCGTAGTACTAATTAATGCTCCACAGCAACAGAGTTCAAAATTACAGATCAGGAAAACATAGCGAGGTTAATTAGGATGAAATGCAGCTTTCGAATTATAAATGGAGGATGCCACGCGCGCACGTCATTGCTCGTGTCATTATATGCGTTGACGTGGAAAGGAAAGCACGGAGGCCGGAGTGTGAGAGGCTCAGATTAAAACGAGAGGTATAAGGCTCAATTGTGAACGCAGGAGTTTACTGCTCCTGGCATTGTTAGTCTCATTGTCTGCGAAGAAAAAAGGACGGACTTTTCATCAGTGGATGAAGAATCGTCTTTACTCGTTGTGTGAAGAAATCAAAGGAGGACAGGTAAACATGATTATGCATGCTAAGAACATGTACAAGCGGCGCACAGTAAAGCTGAATGCATCTCGTGTGGTGATTTAAGAAATATTTGGATATAATCAAAATCATGATTTTAAAAATGACTTCACAGTATATGAAGTAAATGTGTAGATAAATTTATCTCAATTTGCAAAAATTACTTTTAAAAAGTATTTTTCTTCATACCCAAACCCTTTTTTTGTGAAAGGCTTTGCGTTCTTTTTTTTTTTTTTAAGGGAAAAAAAACTGCTTTAGAATTCCAATTATACATTATTGATTGCTCTTGTATTTGTCTGTTATTAAACAAGATACTATTGGCAGCGGAGCTGTGTAGGTTCCGTGATATTCTAAAATTTCTATTGGAAAAATTGATGACTTAATTCAAAAGTATTTTATTCGGGTATAAATAAATCTCACAACAGGTCGGATTAGATTCCTGCTCGATCGTTTTCTTAACTAGATGCGTATTTTCAAACATATATTAGTCTATAAGACTGTGTCCTCTTTTTTGCATGTGATCGTTATTGGTGCTTGAAACATAAGCTATCAAGTATGAAGGCCTTGCTTCTCCATTCACAAAAACAGACGAGAGATAGTCGTGGCTGGCCTCTCTTTTTTATTTTAGCAGAGCAGAGCAAAGGAATGGCAGGTCGTGCTCCAAATATAATAAACGGACACACGCATGCTACGCGCACAAATTAAAGTGATTTAATTGGGAATAGTATATGACATTTTCATTATAGTACCCATCATTCCTATTTATTTTTTCATTTATCTGCTACCATTCGGAACGCTGGCTTTGGGTTGTATCCATCAATTATGACAGTGATACCAACAGGGAATGGCCGAATGCTTTTTCTTGTTTTGAATCCATGTAATGGGTTGAGGTTGAAAGAAATAACTTTCGGTGTTTGGATTGTCGATTATAGCTCATAACTAGAATTTTCTCCCCCATGCGATGCATAAGATGATACATATTAAAATAGTTACTACTGCTAAAAAAAATATTTTATTATATTCTTTCCCTTTTAATCTATTGTAAATAAAATTTATCTTTTGTTATTTACTCCCTCCAATTCAAAATATAATATAAACTTTATCTCCTTATTTACTAAGAAATTAGTTAAAATCATTTTAAAATAATAAATATGTAAGACATGTTTTTTTCCCCTAAAATATACCCTTGCTAATAAAGACAATAAGTAAAAGATGCAATAAATGAATAAAAAAAGAAAGAGAATGTGTGAGAGTGTAATTGGAAACACTTATTAGATGCTTAGACAAAAGTAAATATTATCTTATAAAAAAATCAAATTCCTCTAATAAAGTTTAGGTTATATTTTGAACCGAAGGGAGTATTTTTAAAAATATTATTTTTCTTATATATGAATCAGACAATGAAATATAAGATTCAAGTATTTCATGTTGACAATTTTACGACAATACTAATTGCACATAAATTTTTTTAGTAAAACTACCTATAATGTTATTCTCCTTGATAAAACATCAATGTTTAGTTTCAAAGAAATCTTAAAAATACAGCCACAATTATTGTGACATTAAAATAATTAAATTCACAAAGGTAGAGAACAAATAGGTTGAATGCAGCGCGGAACCTCTCCATTACATATCATCTCCATCGCACCTCCATTTAATTGAAACAGCATCGTTTGTGTTTTATTTTTTGGAAAAAATGGCAGCTTTCTTTTCCAATCCCGTTCGGCATCCATCCCAAATTTGTTTCGGCCTCTCTTTTTTTTGCAGCTGAGCAAAAAATTCTGGGTTTTGTCTCCAAAAAATTTCACAGGTCATATGTGAAAAGAAATCATCGAAGAAGTTGCTCACTTGTTCACCACTTGTGTTTGTTGGTTGCCTCTCCGTTCGTTATATACCTCTGTTTTATAGTTTGTATGCAATCCTTTGAGTTTTTTTGCAGGTTGTTTCTTATGATCGTTTAACCAGGAAAAAGAAAGAATCATTTCATTTTATATTTATACTTTTGATGGCCTCTTACATGTTTCATCACCTTTGTCCTAGGTGATTTTTGGTTGATCACCCGATATCAGTTTGCCAAATCTAGGATGCACACAAAACGGGACTGGGAAAGAAAGCTGCCAATTCTTCTTTTAAAATAAGCAAACGATACCGTTTCAATTAAACGGAGGCGTAATGGAAAGGGTATGCAATGGAGAGGTTGCTCCCCGAGGTTGAATGTTAGTTTGAAGATAACGTACATTGCATAAATCATATGTTAATAAATTCTATAAATAATTTGTTTGTGAAACTCTATTTCTGTTTTTTCTGATAGTGTTTATAGTGCCCCTCTTCTATCATTATCATCATATTAACTGTCAATTAAGTGGCAATTCAACTGCTTAACCCAACCCGTTTTGACATCACCGGGTATTACAAAATTTTATATATAAAGTAGATAGATAGATTGGAGGCAGTGAATGCTCTTTAATTTCTAAATCTTTTTATTATGATCGTGCACGTAGATTATAGCTCATAATTTAATAATAGACGCGTTGTTCATGTGCTCATCAATCTTTTTATTTGATGCCCAATCCGTGTTACAAAAATTAAAAGATAATTTATTTATTTTTTAGCCGGAGAGTTGTGTTTAGTGTCCAGAATCGCTAATAAGATGTTTGAATTGACTTTTAAATAATAATTTTATAAAATCAGAAATAAATATGAGAGATGAGTTTTGTTTCAATTTGCGTGAAAGTATTTCTTTTAAGTAATTCTCAGGATTTTTAAATACCCCTTAATTATTTTATTTCTAACGTCCACTGATGATGAATACTCATTGTTCCATTTGTAGAATTATAAATTTGGTCCTTATCTATCCTTCATTTTTTCAAACATGACTAGTTAAATTAGTGTATTGTGTATTATTTCTCTAGTTTTAACAGGTTAGATTAGTCTTTCCACTTATTTCTTTTTAAGATGGTTTGGCGAGTGTTTCAAAATGTACTGGATTTAGTCAAAACAAAAGTCTGACTAAAATAACGTAACAATAATCTTATCTTGTGAGCCACAAAATCACATTTTCAAGCGATGGCAATATTTTTTTTGGGAAAATTATAACGAAAGACCAGGAAGGAAAAAATATTTATTTTAGAGGAGCCTAAACATCATAACTACTCAGAAGGATCTAATGCTAAATTATAAAATTAAAAATACTGAATTACCCCTTCTTAAATCCCATATTCTGTCTCCGCATCTCGCATGTTCTCCTTAGACAGCTTCTTACAGCGGGGTATTATTTAAAGTTCTTGTGCACGATCCATTCTTCACACCACCGTGTCTATTCTTTAATGTTGGTTTGCTTTATTGCCAAGGTATGTATAGTGGCAGAAACATAGAGTTTGCGAAGAAAGATTGTGAAGTCAACTTCTAAATGCCTTTTGGAAAGAGCGGATCGGATTAAACAAATTAAAGGGTCAAACATAGTCAGATAAAACAAACAAGCGCACAACAATGTTTTACTTGAATAAACTATACCATATTGTTGTGTTTTTTGTTTCTTTTAAAATGAGTGATTGCCAGAGAAAATTTGAATGCCGCAGTAATGGATGCAAGCACAATTTAGTAAAAGAGTATATCGTAACTGTGACGTTCATTCCTCATAAGACCGCTAGGTAGGATATGGAGGCAAGGTTCGACATAAATCCCACAACTAAGGTTCCATCATGACTAGAACTAGAAGTCTAGAAGTGACCGCTGCACAACTCACATCTCTACTAACAAAAACCTAACTGTCAAAATATGATCTTACAATTTCTATCTTTAAGGGTTTCAAGAAATGCTAGCAGGTAGGTTAAGCGCCATCACAATTGTTGCTTGCTGGACTATATGGTGCAAATTCGAGGAGGGAGAAAAGCGAATGCCATTGGGTGCTTCTTTCAAATAAAGGTATAATGCTCTATTCATTATATTCTGGTCCTCTAATATAATTAGAATTTTTACGGACCTTTATAATAAATATTGGTTGTTTTAGGTCCTCATGTCTGATTTTCCCCTTCTTTTTTTTTAAATGTATCGGCAACAGGTCATTATTAGATTATCACACCAGGCCAAGGATAGTTGACCAGTTCATAGTTAGACTGGTGTTTGATTTGGTCTTTCCGTGTTGTATTAATTTTTTAATTAAATTTAAAAGAAATCATCTATTTCATTGGATTTGTAAGACTCCTACTATTATTCCAGCACTTTTTTTTTTGCATGTCAGCAATAGTTAAACATTAAAAAAAAATTAGAATGGATAAATATTTCCCCGTAATACTTCAAAAATTTGTTGCCTGAGTGGGCGATAATGAAATGCCACGCCATATAATAAAACGAATCCCCGGATTAAAAAACAAACAAACGGAAAAGGAGCCCGCGTAAATTCATTTTGATTCTCCCGCCATTTTTTAAAATTATCTGCCTTTGTTTCGTTTTCCCCTCTTTCTCATGTGTCATCACTACTTCTCGCCAGATTGCACCGCAGCAGAATCCGTCACCACCCATCTTCGCCTTCGCCATCATCTTCTTCTAATGTTATTGCAATCGGCGCCAACTCTGAACGAAACATCAGGGCTTCGTCTTGACCGAGCCGTGGGTTCGCCGGTCTTCGCGCAACGGTTTGCAGCTCGACAGAGGTGCGTCGTTGATTACTGTTTATATTAGACTTTGAATTGGCTGTAGTGTCTGTAACTTCTGGAGGAATATATTATAGAATTGAACCAAGGATTGAAGGGATAAATATTACATGGTTGATAGGTTGCAAACTGTGAGTACTTTTGCCCGTGTTTTTCAGTTTGCTAAAGTTTGCAGACAATTATCTTGGGAGGATCTACTCTCCCGTCAATATGCAAGCGCGAGGATGAAGAGATAAAAGGACAGTCAGAAGATTAGAATTCATTTTAAAATCCGGAATATGATCCTTCCAAGTTTGGGATTTAATTGTCCATTAGCATTCAATTTCTGTACACTCTGCACATTTCTATCCAGGAATAATTCCTTATCATTACCTGAGCACGGGGACTGTTAACTTTAGGGATTTGAGAGAAATAAAAAGAAGAAAGATGGAAATCAAATGTATTATTCATGATAGAGCACGTGCTCATACAATCATTGTAACCCACTTGGAGTAACACTAATCATTCCTTAAATAAGGATGATGAACAAACCCCATAACCTATGAGGATTTTTTAGACAGGAGACCCAAGTTAACCTCCTCTTTTTATGGTGAAGATTATATTACCTCACACCCTTAACCCATGCACTAAGGCCCTATTTATAGAGTCTAACTCAATTATCTAATGATATTTTTTACCCTCTTTTAACAGGGACGATGATGTAATGAACATCAGAAGTCTCACCAAGAACTGCTGTTACAAAGTCTTAAAACTGTGTAGTTTAGTGTATTACAGCTTACAACATGTTGAAAGAAAAGTTTAGATTCTCTGTTTTAGGATTTTTGGTGCCACCATGGTGATAGCATCCCAGTAAATTAGTGTCAAGCTGATTAGTTTGCTTATTATTCATTCTTATTTGTTTCCACTAGTCCCGTTCTTTTCTTTAAATATATTGACTTTCAAATGGAAATATAAAGCATTTGATTACTCAAAAAACAAAAAACAAAAAAAAGAAATATAAAGCATTTAAATCTGTAGAAACATCGTACGGGAAAACCCTGCTCGGTGGAATGGTGCAGGCAATATAATAGCTTGAGAAAGTCACTTTTGATAGATTTATTTAACTCCTATTATAAAATTAGTTGTTTTGAGGTTCGAGCATGTTTCAACGTACTGTCTGAAACTCAGTACTCTGCTTTGATGTTGTATATAAATAAATAGATTGCATGATGATGCACCAGAACAATTTAAATTTCCTTTAATGCTAGTAAACAAGACAGATAAAGTCCTGCTATCAAGGTGATTTTGCCGATTGTTTTTAGTAGCACTATCTGTTCAATGAGATAGAAGACTAGAATTCAATGATATATTCAAATCTTTAAGTTTCTCTTTATGCAGTTCTCGACTAAACTGTCTTTGTTGAGTCAATATAAAGTGTAAGAGAAGCAATCTGGACGTCATGACGGGAAAATACTATGACATTGATGACATCATCACAGAGGAAGAGGTTGACATCATAGTTCTCCAATAACTTTCTTTTTATTGCTGCATGTCAAATTGAACAAGGGATGGTAGTAAGATATATTTAAAGACGTTGTGAATAAATGAGTTAATTCAGTAGTCAGCCTAAATGTGCTATGTAGCTGAGATGTTTTGGGTTAGTACTGTCTCTTAACAAGATTAGTCGGAGTTATAAATATGAGGATAAAATGCAATTTTTCCTCGTACGTCATTGAAGAAACATAATACTTTGTTTTCCATTCTCTCTCTTCTATGTCTCCATTGATGCTCGTGAATTACAAAGTTGCCAATCTTTTTAGCCTCCCTTCTCAGTTTTCTGTTCTAATAATACTATAACTTGCTGTGATCTCACTACAGATTGTATCAGTTATATTCCAAAAGGCGGCATCAGGGGTGGGAATAGATCCCAGTTCTGAAACCGACTATGTAAGAACTGCTGATTTGTGATTAAATGAAACTGAATCCTTGCTTGGTGGATCTCTGATGACTTGACCAAACACTGGCTCGTTTGACTTTCAGATTGAAACGAGTTCCAAAGTGGAGATGCCTTTCTGGCTTGCTTATGAGTTACAGTTGAGACAAGTAGTATCTATCAATGTTCCGTCCTGTTTCGATAAAAAGTAACTATCAAATCATAGCTCTGCTGGCAATTTGTAGGCTTCTCCTTTTGTAATAATAAATAATCATCATTGCATTGATAATGAGTCAAGGAGCAATGTCAATTTAGCTTTCTTTGTTTAATTCTGGCGCACGTTTAATTGTTAGGCAGGCCTGTTAGTCATTGATTATAATGCTTCAACTTGATTTGGATCCGATGCCATTTTCCAATCTATATTTTTTTCTACGTTCTGATTACTTGTCACAATGAGCACAGTGACGAACTTCCATTGTTTTTAACTTTTTATACTAGTCATCAAAATTGTTGACGAAATATTTTAGCAAATTATCAATTATCATCCCCACTTGGGTCCAAATCTACTAGATGAAGGTTGAAGTTAACACTGGGTTGGTTTAATTCTAAGCTATAAAGTCTTGAATTTATTTATGCCGGCAAATGCTCTTATGGTTGGTGCGTTTTGATCTCAGAACAAGACTCGAGATTCAGGCTGATTGTGCGAGTGTGGATCTGAGGTCTCGATGCCCATTCTTTTATGAATTTGGATGCAAGATAGCACCAGTGTAAGTCTCTCTAACGCTATAATCTTTCAGTTTCTTGCATTGGAAATTTTTTAATTTCGCAATTGTTTCGTTAGTTTCTTGCATTACTTGAAGTTTACAGTCTCATTCCCATTGACATTTTCTTGCTTATTCCTATGGTCCTATCATAGATGGTGAACATAATTACCACGCTATTATTATAGAGTTTTGAATCCTGTGGTTCTCAATTTGATTTATTCATGACTGAACTGATTTACGATTTGACAAGCACATATTATAACTATCAAATTACTCTGAAGCTTAAGCAAGTCTGTTTCATGGCAGGGTTGGTGATCGGACCATCGGGTTTCTTCTCTTGTCTGCATTTAAGAATAGGTACAAGGAAATCCTCACCAAGGCACATTCCGCAGCAATTTCAGCTGCTTCCAAATTCTGGTCAATTCTGACAAAAGAAGAGATCAATTGTGAGCTTAGTTCTACTTATGAAGTAAAACATGTTTTCTGTCTTCGTTAAGTCGACATCTTAACAATGTAGCTTAATCATGTTCATGGCTTGCGTAGTGTATAATGCAGCTCAATCCTCAATGGCATCCTTCAAGAAGTGGCGAATGGGGGGACCCAGATTTCAGAAAGCCTCTGTTCTTGGAAGAAAGAGGAAATCTACTGAATAGTTTTGCTCCCAAGACATCCATTAATTCAATCTGTGGAGTAATTGCCAAAAACATGTTGGTTTTTGTGGCTGTACTCTTTACTCAGTATTTTAAAAGAAACTAGTATTATGCTATTGGTGGAATATACTCCATATGTTTCATGGAGAATATATGTGTATGTGTTAGGAACAACATTTGCCACCAGAAACACGCCTGACAAATTTTTTACTCCCATTTGCTAATGTAAGGCATTTTTTTTGGGGAAGTCGGGTTTCAATGTATAAGGTAATTTGTGAAATTTTAAATGTAACTAATACTTTTTTTAACCTAGAATGCCTTTAGGATTGTGTTAAAATTACTTGCTTTCCGATATTCTGCTTCATAAATAAGTAATTAATATTCGTATTAAATAAGGATAAGTTTAAAAACAGAGATGTTAATTTAAATTATTTTAGTATCTTTAATATTTATTGATAGTGATCTTAATAGACATGTTGGTAAAGAAGCTGGATAATATGTTAGGACTCATTATGGCATGGGTTTGGACTTTGGAGTGTGTAATAATGAAAGGCAAGCTATTATTGATTTCTTTTTCGCGTATAACTTTAAGATTGTTAACACTTACTTTAAGAAGCGGGAGGAACATTTAATTATTTACAAGAGTAGAACCCATAGGTTGTAGAATAATTCTTTCTGGTAAGGAATGTTGATAGAAAATTCTGCACAAATTGTAAAGTGACTCCTGAAAATGGCATGACATAGAGTATTGGTTTTTGATGTATGTATTAAGTGTATAAAACAAAAACATCCACAAGTGTTAACCCCAAGGGACAAATGGTGCCAGGTAAAAGGAGAGAAACAAGAGATTTTCAAAAGGATTCTTTTAACGGAAGGGGTTTAGGAGCTATAAGAAAATGCTAATCTTATGTAAATGGAAATGGCTAATAAGGTCTAGAAGATTGCCAAAGCAATCTTGGGTGAATCGAAAGATCGAGGTTGGCGAGATAAGGAGACATGGTGGGGGAATGAGAACGTGCAAAAGGAAATCAGGCATAATCGAGATTGTTTTAAAGTGACACATTTGTGTAATAATGCTGAAAATTGGGAAATGTACCGTGTAACTAAAAAAGAGACTAGAAGAGCAGTGGGAGAAGCTCGTGCTAAAGCTTTTGAGGAGTTCTATAAGGATCTAGGGACTAAGGCTGGGGGACGCAAGATTTACAAGATTGCGAAGAATAAAGAAAGAAAAACAAGAGATTTGGACCAAGTAAGATGTATAAAGAACGAAAAAGGTAGAGTTTAGGTTACTGATGGTGATATTAAGGATCGCTGGGAAGCCTACTTTTATAAGCTATTTAATGATGGGAGTGAAGGAACAACTTATAAGCTTGATGATTTGATAATTGGAGAAAAAGAACATAATTTTGCTTTTTATTGAAGAATTCGAGTTGGTGAAGTTAAGGTAGCTCTCAAGAAAATGGAAAACAATAAAGTAGTTGGACCTGATAGTATTCCTATAGAAGTTGGAAATATTTGGGTGAACGTGGGGTGCTATGACGGTTTACTAAGTTATTCAACGAGATTTTGCGCTCCAAGAAAATGCTTGATGATTGGAGAAAAGTACTTTAGTACCTATTTACAAGAATAAATGGGATATTTAGAACTGTGCGAGTTACAGAGGGATTAAACTCATGAGCCATACCATGAAATTGATGAGAGAAAGTGATGGAAAATAGGTTGAGATTGGAGATTTGTATTTCTGAAAATCAATTCGGGTTCATGCTAGGAAGATCGACAACAAAAACGATTTATTTACTAAGTAGGTTAATGGAAAAGTACCGAAGCCATAAAAGAGACTTGCATATGATTTTTATTGATGTGAAAAAAGCTTACGACAGTGTGCCTAGAGAAGTGCTTTGGAGAGCCTTGGAGAAGAAAGGTATACGTGTTGCTTATATCAAAATGACACAAGACATGTACGAGGGAGTCACAATTAGTGTTAGAATGCCATGAGGTGAGACAAAAGACTTTCCTGTAAGGATTGGCCTACATTAGGGATCATCTTTGAGCCCTTATCTGTTTAACCTAGTTCTCAATGTTCTAATTGAGCATATCAAAGAAGAAATTTCGAATCACATGCTTTTTACTAATGATATAGTTCTATTAGCAGAGTCAAAAGAAGGGATTATCGCTAAACTTGAGACATGGAGAAGAACCTTGAAATCAAAGGGTTTCTGTTTGAGTAGAAGTAAGACAAAATATATGCATTGCATTTTTGATAAGAGACAGGTTAGTATAAATTGGAGGTCAGATATAGAGACAGAGTCATTCCACAAGTGGAAAAGCTTAAATATTAGGGATCAATTATAAAAAAGATGGTGGAATTGATGGAGATGTTAGTCATATAATTCAAGCTGGGTGGTTTAAATAGAGAAAGTGACTGGAGTTATCTACGATTGGAAAGTACCAACTAAGGTCAAAAGAAAGTTTTATCGCATTGCTATAAGACTAGCAATGTTATATGGTAGCGAGTATTAGGCTTTAAAAAGACAATATGAACATAAAGTGGTAGTTGATGAGATGAGAATGTTGACATTGATGTGTGGTCATACAAGAAAAGACAAGATCCATAATAAGCATATACGAGGAAAGTTTGGAGTGGTTGCTATTGATGAGAAAATGATAGAAAATTGATTGAGATGTTTGGCCACGTGCAAAGAAGGCTTTGGGACGGCCAGTAAGAAGACTTAATCAAATAGTATGGAGTTCTATAAAAAAGAGTAGAGAAAGGCTGAAGACAACGCTTAATGAAGTCATTGAGAGAGATTTCTTTAATTAACAATTTATCCAAAGATTTGGTTTTGGATAAGGCTCAATGGTGTCGTACGATCTATGTAGCCAATCCCGCCTAGTGGGATAAGGCTTTGTTGTTGTTGTTGTAATATTTTTATGTTTCCAAATTTTCTTTTAACATCATGAATAAAAGGGTGTTTTTGGCTTTAGCATTAAAATGATATATTTATTTTTAAAAAATAGTTGGATTTCTCATAACTTAAAAAAATAAAACAAGCTATCAGTTATGAATTCCCCCCAGTTTTTGAATATTTTACTTCCATAAAAATCAGTAAAATAAACCTAACAGCTCTTAAATTTCAGAGTTTAGAATATCATGACCACAAAAGGAAGAACTTTTTTTTAAAAAAAAAGGGTTTAGAATATTCTTTATGCGCTTTTGGTCATTTCGCAAACGCATATGGGAGCTGGCCCCAAGTTGTTTTTGTTATGCTGAAAGTTGAATGGCGATGAAAAGAAAATCATAGACAATAAAAATAGATTGATCCTCTCTCTTTTTCATTATAATATTGTTCTTATTTTAAAAATATGTGTGGACTTTATTGAAAATTAAAATTATATCACACTAAATCCTTACTTTATATCTTTTTAGGAGAAGGGACAAGCTGAAGCTATCTTAAAAACCAGTGAAACCGAATCGGTCACGACCCCTCCGTACATGAGAACAAGCCTAATATCGGTAGATGAGAATGACGTTGTTTCTAACATAAATACTATATAACAATAGTCAGAACAATAATTTTAGTATGTATCACAACACAAATTTTATCAAACTTCCATAGAAAAAGAAAAAAGAAAGGCGTGGGGGGAGGGGGTCCCGGCGGAAGATTGGGAAAGGTAATGGTAGGAGGGGGAATTTGATGCTTGGAGGGCGATATTTATGGCGGAGATATTTTGAAGACATTCATATTCTGATCCACGCAGGCAAAAAGGCACCTGCCCTTTTTGTCGTCGTGGCACCGCCTTTCCCTGCCCTTTTCACTTTTGTTCCACCTCTAAGATATTTTCTCTGCCCCTGCTCCTCACCCTCCCCCACTCGCACGCACGCTTTCTCACCTGTCCCTCCCAATCACAGATTGCTTTGCATGCAGGAGTTGGCTGCTTTGGTATTATGCGCAGCGCACGCTCTTGCCCAGTGCGAGTGGGTGGGTGTGTTATTCTCCATTGATGAAGAGAGCAGCAGGTGGAACACAAAGCCATATTCTTTCTTATCGCCAATATAATACTCAATACTCATCAAATAACGCCACTCTCCAGCTCCCCCGGCCTCTATATATACGTTGCCTCCTCCTCACCCTCTCCTCACCAAACCAGCCCAACCCATACTCGCCAATTTCACACACTCATCGATCCACCCCTCCCCTTCCGTCCTCTTCGATCATCTTCATCGTATTATTGATACAGATGGAAGACCCCTCCCGCCGCCGCCATCACAAAAAGAACCACTACTACCACCACCCCACCACCACCACCTCCGTCAGCACTACCACCGGCGAGTCTGACGAAGAGGTCGAGGAGACCGAAGACGGCGACCCTCAGGCCTGGGCCACTTTCAACAGCAGCTTCCGACAGGTTCAGTCCGTTTTGGACCGCAACCGCCTCCTCATTCAGCAGGTGAACGAGAACCACCAGAGCAGGATCCCCGACAATATGGCCCAGAACGTCTCTCTCATTCAGGAGCTCAACGGCAACATCTCCAAGGTCGCCCATATCTACTCTGATCTCAACTCCGAATTTACCACCATGTGCCACAAACACTCCAAGAACTCTGGCTCTCGACGCAACAAATGACATGCCGCCACATCCCAACGCTCTTTCCATTATTTTACAACTCCATCTCCATCCAATCTCCCGTTCCTACCCCCTCTCTCCCTATCTTTATCTCGTGCACTGTGTGTCCTTGCGTATTGTACATGTGGTTGAAAAATAATGACGGTAATTTACTTAGGTTCTGTTCCTCGCGAATAATTAATCCTTGAACTTGTCATTTGTAAACATACGTCATTAGTCCCACACACACACACACACACATATGCAGACCCTTTCATTTGGCCAAGTAGAATAAGTTGTCAAGCCCAAACTGTACGTCAGTGTCCTGAAAGCAATAATATAAACTGACTTTAATCTGTTCTTCTGTGTTGGGACGACGATGCTTTGTGCTGGAATACGCAGCCCTTCTCCATTCCACACTTTAAAGGTCGAAAAGAAGAAAACGAAAGCAACGCTCTTCACTTCTGACCACTTTATGAGTTTGAGCATGGCCGTAAAATTGAAATTCAGCTATTGCGAAAGGAATCTAACCTCACATTTACATATTAGAGGTGTAGCGTTTGACCAGCAATATAATATTCTAACCTCTTTATGTTGCATGTCTCCATAGCGGCACTTTTTACCTGTGAATAGTAGATATCATTTTCTTTTTGCCTTTGTTTTGGTAATCCTTGTCATGATTAGGTTCTGCCAGTGGAAAGTTTCTTGCAAGCAATTAGTCGGTGTCCACTTGCAGGCCAGATCTACATATGGGAAGTATTTGAGGAACAATGATTAGGGCTCAGATTTTTGCCAAGTGCTTTTAGTGCGATGTGAAATGTTTATACTTGTTTTGAGACTGTACTGTTTTTATCTTTTCTCTGGTCTATTTCTTAAATTTAATTGGCAGCATCTTTTGTTGAATTTTTATTCAACTTGAAATGACTATGAAAGTGCAAACATCAAACTTTAGACCCAATTTCAATACTTACTATTTTGATCGCCATTTTAAATTCGTCAGATTTATATTATTTATATATGATTTGAACAGTCATATTTAAAGTTTTTAATTAATTATTTTTAAGTAGAAAAATTATTTTTTGAAAAAAATGTTAGTTAAGATATTATTTTTATTGTAAATTCTACACATATTAAAACAATTATTTTGAATGAATAAAAATAAAAAAAAATAAAATTCGAACCATTCATATAAAATATAAACCATCTAGATCGAATAATAAATTTAGGGTGCTCATCACCGAAACTGGATTCCCAAATTTTGCATGGTATTTCAGTTGAGTTGTATGACATGTTTAACGAATAGTACAAGTATTTACATATTTTATTTATTCTGTGTGGATTACAGCAAGGATTCTTTTAGCTGGTAAAAAAAAAAAAAGAAGAAGCAAGGATTCTTTTAGGTTTGACTATTAATATTCTATGCACATTGCACAATACCCTCTCGGTTCTTTTTTTCCTTTCCCGTCAGGCTGCCGGTGAACTATTTCCCAACTTTTCTTAGGGTCGTTGGATCATATTGGAAAAATAGCTTATTAAAAAAAGTAACTTTTAAAAAAGTAAAATTAGATAAAAGTTAAATTGGATAAGTTGAATTGTGTTTGGATTGGAGTTCAGAAAAACTAGTTTGTAAAAGTGAGATTGGTAAAAAGTTGTTTAGATTATGGTTGAGTAAAAATAAGTTTAGTTGTAAAATGACTAAAATAGATATGAGTTTTAATAAATAATGAAACATAATTAAAAAAATGATTTCATATAATACAATGAAATTAAAATAATTTAATATGAAGAAGTCAAATCTAATGAGTGAATTAAATTTTAAAACTTTGGAGAAATCATAAAAAAACATTTTGAATATAAAGTGAAAGATGAAAAAAAATGAATTGAGGTAATACAATAAATTTAAATTAATTAATATGCCGAAGTGAAATTGATTGAATGAATTAAATTTTAAAACTTTAGAGAAATCATAAAAAATAATTTAAATATAAAGTGAAACATGAAAAAATAAAATATATTTCTAGGGTCATATTTAAAAATAAAAATATATTTCTAACTTATTTATTATTTTCAAGTAATTTTAATTGATTTTTTGTTATCTACAAATTAGTTATTTGAAGTTTATAATAAAAACCAAAAGAGATAATAAATTTCTTAGTTTTTTCTCTTTTCATATTTCAAAATTCATAAGTCATAAGCTATAAGTTATAGTGTCTATTTGGCATCACTTATTTTGAGCTTATAAGTAGCTTATAAGCTCTATAAGCTCGATTGACACAATTGGGTCTGTTTGGATCAGCTTTTCTGCAATTGGGCTTTTGTCTGAAAAACTACAATAAGCTATAAGTTAAAATTAACAGCTTATGACTTATAGCTTTTGAAATATGGAGAGAGAAAAAGTTAAGAAATTTATTACCTCTTTTGGTTCTTATTATAAGCCTCAAATAACTAATTTGTAGATAATAAATAATCAGTTAAAATTAGTTGAAAGTAATGAATAAGTTAGAAATATATTTTTATTTTTAAATATGCTCATAAAAATATACTTTTATTTTTTCATGTTTCACTTTATATTTAAAATATTTTTTATGACTTCTTCATATTAAATTATTTTAATTTCATTGTATTATGTGAAATTATTTTTTTAATCATGTTTCATTATTTATTAAAACTCATATCTATTTTGGTTATTTTATAACCAAACTTACTTTTACTCAATCATAATCCAAACAACCTTTTACCAATATCACTTTTGCAATCTAGCTTTTCTGAACTCTAATCCAAACACAATTCAGCTTATATCTAATTTCACTTCTTTATAAGCTACTTTTTCAATAAGCTGTTAATTTTAGCTCATAACTTATTGTAACTTTTTATATAAAAGCCACCTTACCCAATCATTCAACCAAACAACATTAAATTTGTAATCGTGCTTTTCAGGCTCATAAGTCACTTATGGTGCCTAGAACGCCCAGCAAATAGGTTGTTAATTATTTTGTTTTTTCGCCTCAGTTGGTTTCATCGAGGGGTTTCATCCTCACATCATGCAGGGGGTTGGCTATCTCGGGGCCTCTAACACAAAACTAGTTTAAATAATATTACTCCTCTAATTGTTAATATAAAATATATTTAATTAATTTGATTAGATTAAAAAAGTTAGATAAATTAGTTAATTATAAGAGATGTGACATGTTTTTCCTAAAATACCATAATCATCTTTATTAACACTCTCTCTCTCTCTTTTATTTGAATATAGTTGAAAGAGTATCTATAAGGATGATTTAGGAAAAATTAATAAATATGAGAAATAGGTCTTATATTTAGGATAAAAATCAACTTAACAATTAGATCCTATAGTAAGGACTAGAGAAGTATCTCTTGTTCTTAATATAAAAGTTAGTTTGATATTTAATTTAATCTTAAATATAAAATCTTAATCCATTTTATCATTCATGTTTATTCATTTTTTTAAAAAATAGTTTTCGTAATAGTTACACATATTAAAAATTTCATCAAATGGTAGTTCTAGTTAATACACATGATTAGCAAAGATATTTTATAAAAGACAATATTCCTCCGGTCCTAAATATAAATAATTATAATTTATGAAAGAAAACATCTGTTTATTATAAATAACTAATTTAATTAATTAGTTAAACTAATTTTTATATTAATAACCGGGTTAGGAACACAAATTCTGCAAGCGAACTGGAATGATACACGTAATTGAGAAATTGTAATTAACTACTTTTTGGCTCGGTAATGAATTAATAAATGGCGGTGAATGTGGATTTCAGGAGCAGAATGCCGTTTGCGAAGACGTTGAGGATGAGGCAATCAATGGCAGAAGCTGCGAAGAGTCATAATCACGCGGTTGAGTTATTAATGGGGAAAGAGAAATCAGAGATAGGGATGCGATGCTTATCCAAGCTCGGGTGAGGAACAGGACAGGTAGATTCCCGTTTGACTGCCGCAGACAGAGCGAGCCGGGAACTGCAGAGTACGCGAAATTGACATGATTTCCAGTTTCACATCTTAACTGTTACCACATCAAAATCAAACCCGGAAGAGAGAGAGTGAGACCTGAATTAGATGCGGATGGCCTTTCAAGGGAAGTGATCTCGTGTGATGTGATGTTAAGGGAATGGGGTTGAAGGGTGAGCGTCATGACCCGGCCTCCCAATTCCCTTGCCTCGCCACCACTAGCATCACATCTCCCTCCAACACAACTGCATTACCTTTTTTCTTTGCTATTTATGTTTTAATGGCTGCCATCCATCTCCCAATCAATCCTCAGGAAGTTAGGGAGGAGGGTAGGTCTGCCTGCATGCTGTTTTGCTGCTTAGGATTATCATATTCACTGCCCACCCCTTCACAGCAAAACCCCACCGAACACTGCTTCTCAAACTCTCTTGATCGATATATTTTCCTCCTCTAAATCTTGCCCACACAAACAACACATGAGCACCCACGTCTAGTTTTAAGTAAATTTAATTCTGCTCCTAATGTAAGTATTTTATTGATGAACGACCTGTAAATATTTTTATAAATGAGTTTTTAGAATTTAACTCACATAAATTTATTGTAATAAAACAAATACTGTGATTAATTTTTGTTATGATGAATTTGAAATTTTGAATATTTTAATTTGACTCAAACAGGAAGGATAACATAGCTCAATGAATTGCTCCCACCTGTCCATAATATAAAATTTTGGTTAGAAAAAATTATGATTCAAAATATAAGATGTTGTCAGGATAATTAATATGATTTTTTTGACTTTCACCATTATTAAATATAGGAGAGAGAGATAAGAGATGAAAAATAATAAAAGTACAATATCAAAAGCAACTTTATATTTTTAAGGGTAAAATATGAAAATTTTCTTATTTTAGAACAGATTAAATGATTGAACTTCCTCTTTTTTTTTTAGTATGTAAGAAAAATTAACCAACTTTTTATATTTTAGATAGAATAAAAATAAATTTATATTTTTAATTTAAAAAGATGTCTAATAAATGAGCCAGTTAATTGTAGCAGTTGTCGGGGTATTAAAGATAAGATGCCAAAGGCCCAGCATGAAGCGGATGATAATGGAATCATTGAAATCGACAAAGTGAATTCAAATCATCACAAACAAAAAAGACAAATACCACAAGGAAATATACAGTACTTCGTAATATGACACAATTTTAGAAAATTCTAAACCTTCACCATTTTATGATTCACAATTTTGGAGTGGATGCAAAACGAAAAGCATATGCTGACCAAAAGGAAAAAATTTAAATAAATTATCAGCTTCGTCGTCGTCATCAAGAATAATTATGAACAGTGATGATGCCAAGTGACGCTTTACAGGCGAC